AATTGTTTCCATGATAAATCCCACCCACATCTGAGATTACACATCACAGCTGGAACTGTGATTTTATAACTACTAAACAGCAGAGTCAGCCAAAATGGTTAGAAGTTCAGCAGTGCGGTCTCTGTTCTCACAGCAGTATCTGTACCGAGCCCCAGGCTTCGCAGTGCCACGGGAGAGATGCTGGCCAGGCATCCTGCAGACCCTCCAGAAGTGTCATCCCTGCCAAGGAACACAGCTGGTTTAACAGAGCCCCTCCACCACCTTAGCAGGATTAGGGGATAATCCTTTTCCTCAGGGGTCACAGTTCATTTTTCCATCACAGACACATTACTGTCAGTCTAAGATGCTGGATTACCAACTGCCTGCATCTCTCAGCCTGCGAGACCGGACAAAGCACGTATCAGAAATGATAACAACCCCCAAAACAAAGCTATAACCTAAAAAGGGGCAGTTTATATCCAGCCAGCTCACCTTCCTAGCAATTAACAGCCCCCAAGCTTGCAAAACCTCTACTCCATTGGTAGGATTGGCTGCAGCCGTTTCATTTGACCCCAAAAGGCTGAAGAAATAAATCCCATTCGGTTCACTGCAAATCCATACATGTGGAAAGCTGCAGTCCTTATCAACGAGGGGTTTTCCCCCCAAGATGAGCTGTTAGCAACAGCAGGAGTTAGAGCTCACTGATGGAAGCACAAAGGGGAGTGAGGGGAAGAAAGGAGAGACTTTCTTAGGAAGTCTCGAGTGTAAGCTGTCCAAGAGTATGATCGCTATCACCAGGTCTATGAAAGTAACAGTACTCTTTAAAATGAGCCCTGGCTAACTTGTTCCTCAAATTTTGCCCTCAGTTAGGCAGGGGCATTCTGGTTCACTGATCTTGCAGGGTGGGAGGGGATCCTAAGGCCACTTGCGAAAACAAACCCCCTGCAGCCTCTCAGGACGTGCATCTCCAAGAGAATTGGGTTTTTTCCCCTACAGGAAGGAGGGGGCACAGAGACCATACTCATCATCCCTCCTTCTGGTGTAATAGCAACTCAGATTGAAGCCAAAGGACCTCATACAGTCTGACAAGTTCCTGTGATCATCAGAACTATTCTATTATTATTATTCTAAATAATTCTAATAATATTCTTAATAATTCTAAATTACTGTCCTCTACGCAACAGCTACTACTGCAGTATTACTCCTATAGCTATCTTGCTTTTTCCTTTCCTTCCATACAAAATGTCTAACTCCAGGGCACTGCTCCAGCCCTCTTCATTTCCTCTCCTGAGAGAGGCATAGCACCCGAACAACCAAAAAGTAAAATCAAAAGTGGTGCCTTACGATGTTAATAAGGATGATTTGGCAGTGAATATTACACACTCTTCTTTTAAGTCAAACCACAACAGCTTTCATCAGAGGATGTCAGAAATCCAGATTTCTACCCAATGCCAAAAAGTACTTTTGAATTTTTCCCTCTGAAGGTGGTCTTTCATTGTGGCTAACTCCATCTGTGTGCCCCACATAGCCACATCACTGAATTTGGCGTCATGACTAACAACGAGTAACATAAAGGCACTCACACTATTTTTTGGAGCAACTCTACGATAAATTTTCCTTACAGACACATCAGGGCAAGCATGGCAGCACCGCTCCAGTCGGGCACGCCATGTGCCCTGCCCTGGCCTCTGCTGCCACTCACGGGCACATATGTGCCCCTGCCCTGGCCACATGCAAAGCTGCTTCTGCAGCTCTTCCTCATGGTCTCCCTCATCCCACCGAGCAAGCACTTAGGCTTCGTAATGTAAAATGTTAACCCAGAAGTAGGGAGTAGGCGGCAAGGAAGCTACCTCGCCTTCACGATACATAAGAACAAGGAGAATCTGTGTCCTTGGCCAGGTATTTGCTTTCTCCAGTCCTTTTTAAGTTATAAGATAAATGTCAGCCTGCATCTATTACTAAACGCGAGGAAGAAAAAATAAATGGCTTCTGCTACATACTAGACTGATTATAGACCACAGGCTGCTAGCGATGGTGACTCATTGCCTTGAAATGATTGTCTAGGAAAGCCAAACACAGGGGTTACTCTCTGGCCCTGAGCACCAAACTTGCTCGTCTTCCTTTCCACTAAAATGCCCAGGCCCAACTGAATACAGGATTTCTTAGGCACCCCATCCACACCCCAAAAACCAGTACCCTCAGCTAAGAGGCACTTTGGAAATTTATACTACCTTACAAGGCACGTTTAACAGCAATGAGGAATGCAGAGGACAGAGTGCATCAGAAGTCTTGGAGGTGGGATACGGGAAAGATGTCCTCTTCTGAGAGTAGGTACCAAAACTCCTGGCAGCTGTCACCCAAATCAACTACTTCCAGCATGTTGTGGAGGATCCTCTTTTGTTTTCTTATTCAAAATAGTATCTAGAGAGCTGTGCCCAAGTTTTATAAAATACCTCAGTGCTTGGGATGTCTTCTGTCTCC